TCATTTCGCTCCCGCTGTTATATTAATGACGCACCATCAACCTATTAGCACGTCAAGCAAAGCGGTAGTTCAGAGGGACTACTAAACTAACCGACGGTAGCATTCCGCGAACGCATCACTCTTCAGCAATCCGGGATCCAAGACATGACGGTACATAAGCCTTGCATGTGTTTTTATGGTGAGTAAAAAAAAATGTTTTGCGAATGAGTGTTGGTACATATTTATACTAACACGTTTAATTTGTCGCACTATGCACGCCAACTCGTGAGCAGCGATTACTTTGCGAAGAAAGGGGGTTATCCTCGATAAAGTCTTCGTTGCGGGTGAACAGCTGGGACATTGTACTGTTATTTTTTTTTTTTTGTTGTTCGCAGTGCGCCGACAGTATGCCGACAGCATCGAGGTTTCTACATATCCCCGGTGGCCAGCAATTCTACGGTGACGAGAAGCTTAGCTCCTCGTCACTGGTGGATCGGTTGGGCAAACTGAAAAGGGGGCAAACAGTTGAAATCAGCAGGAATCGCAGAAACGTGCGTCGCAAGGAACAAAAACGAGACTTCAGCACCGGCGTTGCCAGACTGGAAGGCACACGGAAAGTTATGCGTTGTTTATGGCGAAAGATACTGAAGGACATGTTTCTTGCATTTTTGACAAACTCTGGCATAGTAGCTAAAATTTCTTCGTACCATCTGAAGCTAATAAATTGGTCTTCAAGTACAACATTACTATATTTTGACTTAAAATACCTTACTAGATCGATAACAATCAGCGGAAAAAAAGAACAAACAAAATGACTGGCTTGTTTCACCGATAGAAGGCGCATCTTACTGCTCAATCAAAAATAATTATTGTTGTTCTATATCCAGCCGTTTATTACAGTACCTAGGTACTTTTTCCTTCCTAGGCACCGTGGTTTAAAACCGGCCCAGATGCGCCATGCCTCGGGGAAGCTTCGATGGCCTCGCGCATCATAGGATCCGGCTGCACCACTCCCCTAAGCCAACTAACGTCACGCGCCTGGCTTTTCAGAACAAAGGGGCCAAGGCTTGAAAAGGGGACGCGGGACAAAGGAAGGCTGTCTCGGGCGGCGGACACGAAGGAGCGTTCAGCAGTGACAGGAGAGGTGGGCGCTGGCACGGGAATCGGTGGAGACGGACGCTGGCACGGGAAGTGCGAACGCGGCGTTGAGCTGCGAACTTGACGGAAGGACCGGGCAGCGACCGTGGATGACGACGTATTATCGGGGAAAAATGAAATGCGAACAGAGGAGCGCGTGGCTCGCGGTACAGGCTGCGCCGCCTGGAAGTGAGGCTGAGCCTAGGAGCGAGGGTGCGTGGCCTACTCCGACGTGTTCACGCCCCTCCCTCTGCGCTCTCCAAGCTTCAACAGTGCGCCTCTTAGTGCGCTGAAAGCTATCACCGCTATCTTTGCTGGCTCAGCGCGTGCGGTGCAAAGAAGCTCGCCGCACTCGCCGAGCAGGCCAAGATAGCGGTGACAGCTTTCAGCGCACTGAGAGGCGCACTGGCGAAGCTGGAGGAGCGCCAATCGAGGGGCGTGAACACATCGAAGTAGGCCACGCAGCCTCGCCCCTAGGCTCACTTCCAGGCGGCGCAGCCTGTACCGCGCGCCACGCGCTCCTCTGTTCGCATTTCATTTTTCCCCGATAGTACCTGTGAAGCGGTGTGGACGACCACCGCTGGGACACTGAGCAGCTGATGTGGGAGCGGACCTCCTCCCGGCGTCGGTGATGACCGATCTCCGATCCCGAAACGCCCCAGGCAAAAAGTGAGTGAATAAACCATTTTGCCGAGAGCGAGGTATTGCCGTGTCATGTTCATCGGTGGGTACGGTTTGAGAAAATCAGAGCTAGAGGCCCGCAAAGTTTAGCGAATGTTCATAAAATAATAATTTTACCAAGTATTTTATGGAACTAATGCAGCTCATGGGGGGGGGGGGGGGGATATTTAATATGCCACCTTGAAAATTTAAAATATTTGTGTAATAAAATAAGCATTCAGCACTGCAATACAGCAAGGCGGATTTTTGGGCCAGTTGGTTTATGATTTTAGAAGGCGGAAACGAGCCAAAATAAACAAGGACGAAAAGAAAGTAAGACGAACTCCTCGCAACTGTAGTTGATTCGCAAACTACAGGCCTCGCAATTGTACTTGTTAGGAAATACATGCACTATATAGTCCCCATCGGCCTGTCTGGTCATCGTCATATTGGCGAAGTACATTTTTGATAAATTCAAACTTGTTGTTTAAAAGGCCGATTGATGCCTCCACTTACAGTTTCTATTTTTATCCCGCATTCTGAATGTCTACTGCAGTTCTGTTTATTGTGTCTTTACATTTGTGAATAATCTTAAAGGAAACATGCAAGGAAAAAAAATGTTAACAGCTTGGTTGGAAAAAGAATGTCATAAAACGAACTTAAAGCGAAAAAAAAATAGCTATATTTACGGCGCGATGCGAATTTGTAGTTGGCGCCCCGGGCGCAGCTTAAAAATTGCGGCTATTTATCACGTGAGTGACCGCTATCTGTCAAAACTTACTTCCGCTCCTTCGAAAGCTTCCTATGGCCTCTAAAAGTTTCTTACTCGTCTTCGTTTGAAGTGCAAAAAAAAAAAAAAAAGATTAATACATAACTTTTGGAGCCCAAAGGAATCTCCTGAAAAAGCACAAGCAGACGGGATAGACTTGTTCGCCGGTCAGGTGACGGCGGCGGCGATCCGAGCAGACGAACTTCCGCGGCGGCGGCGTGGACAAACGTGTTGAACCGGCAGCACTCCACGCTCAGCGTGCGGCGGGGGCGTGACTTTGAGGCGGCGGCGGCGCAGCGCGACGATGCTCATGTCTACCATGTGACCCGCGGCGGTTCCCGCGGGCGCCGACTACAAATTCGTTTCGCGAAATAAACATAGCTCTAATTTTTTTTCCTTTGGAAATTCGTTTTATAATATTTTTTCTCCGTATGGGCTATTTAAAAAAAAAAATTTTCTTTACAGGTGTGCTTGAAAGGGATAGTCCAGCGGTATTCTTGAAGTTTCCAAGTGTTTTTTTTTACGTTGGCCACGTTGAGTTAGCTGAAATATGGTCATATTTGATACAGAAAAATTCCAGTAACAGGTGCCCCAAACTTTCTTAAATGAGTGATAAATATCATTACGCAACTGCATGCCAAATACCGCAAGTATGCATGACTGGGCGTGTCAGTACGTCACATAAGGCATGTTGACATCAGAGTTGCGGGCGTTCACGTATTTACGGTATTTATACACATGGTTCATTGTGCGTGAAAAAAGATGGTGCGTACAATGATCACCGCCAATCTTGTTGTTTTCAGAACGTGGCTATTTCACTATGAAAACGGTCAAGAGTTATCGTTGGTCATTTTACATGCTGTCACGTGAGAGCTTCCGATGTGGCCAACAAAAATGTCGTGTATTATGCGGGTGCACTCTGAACAGTTGGGCTCTATCTATAATTAAATTACTCCTGCGCAAGACTAGTTAAAATTCGTATATTGTGCTGAAGATATTCCTAAAAGCAGTGACAATATTTTTTATTTGTGTTGCGGCACAAAATATTATCGGAAAAACACTTTGACATTATGCAACATCTGTGAAGCGAAGAATCTGTAACATTAAACGCGATTGTTAAAACAGAAGTTCGGGCGAGTTGGTAGTTCATGACGCACGAGGACACAGCGCACCCGTAACAAACACTCAACGTTCACAGTCACACCAAAAGAAAGGGACACTTACACAGCGCTGACTTCAACTCTTTGTATATTCCCGCCTTTTCTCTTCTTTCGCGTCTAATGCTTAACCTAGGCCTCATCTTTTTCTTTCTTTGCTAAAGGTTAACTGTAAAAGTTTTAAGCCAGAAATTGACAATTAAAAATTAAATGGAAAAATTAAATGAAAATTGAAATTACTGTAGATCAATGATGCAAAGCTAAGTAATCCAGCTCTTTTTGTGACAGCGCTATAGATGGATTACTAATACACCTGCCGTTTTGTCTGGCAATGTTCTCCGCTTCTGTTATTTCCCTTGTGAGCTGGTCTCGACTCCTTGCCAACACCACACACTTGTCAAGTTCCGCTGTGCACCCACAGTCCCGAATGTGTATGCCAACATGTCCAGAGTTCTTGTTGATGGTGGACAGGTAGTATACTCCTTCCCCCTGTCCTGTGGAAGAACATATATCGGACAGACGGGTAGGTGTTTAAACCACCGCCTTAGAGAACACAACCTGTCCACCATCAACAAGAACTCTGGACATGTTGGCATACACATTCGGGACTGTGGGTGCACAGCGGAACTTGACAAGTGTGTGGTGTTGGCAAGGAGTCGAGACCAGCTCACAAGGGAAATAATAGAAGCGGAGAACATTGCCAGATAAAACGGCAGGTGTATTAGTAATCCATCTATAGCGCTGTCACAAAAAGAGCTGGATTACTTAGCTTTGCATCATTGATCTACAGTAATTTCAATTTTCATTTAATTTTTCCATTTAATTTTTAATTTTCAATTTCTGGCTTAAAACTTTTACAGTTAACCTTTAGCAAAGAAAGAAAAAGATGAGGCCTAGGTTAAGCATTAGACGTGAAAGAAGAGAAAAGGCGGGAATATACAAAGAGTTGAAGTCAGCGCTGTGTAAGTGTCCCTTTCTTTTGGTGTGACTGTGAACGTTGAGTGTTTGTTACGGGTGCGCTGTGTCCTCGTGCGTCATTAAACGCGAATTGTATTTTTTTATTTTTTATTTATTAAGTCTTTTTTTCTATTTCATTTTAACGAGGGACTTCTTTAGGCATCGCTAGCAGATTGAACCAGTCTAATTAGAAAGTTCGAGGAATACACTTACCTAGTGACCTAACGACAAAACGTCTTTGGTCTGAACGCTTGCTACATTTGAGTAAAAGTTGTGCATAGAAAATAAACGCTTGAAATACAAATGCTTTTTATTTCGATTGAAAACTGTTACTTCACATTTTACGTCGTTGAGCACGCCGGACCAGACTGCATAAAATTTGGGTGCTTCAGAGTTTTTCGGAAATAATCTGTCACCTGAGAAACTCGCCAGTAACCGGCCGCATATTTGAAATTTCCATATCTGGTGTTTTCGCATTCTTTTTTGGTGTCTTCCGATTGCAAGTTAAACAGAGCCACACCAATTTTGACGTCCGGAAATCTCCTCGTTGCGCTGCAGATCTATCGAGTCAAACGTATAGGTCATAAAATTAATGCATGTAAATAAAGAAGCCTAAATAGTGTGTGCCATTTTTACCAAGTGTGTAAGTTGAATCAAAGTTATTTTGAATAAATTGAGGAAATAGTAAAATTACATATTTTTTTATTTTTTATTTTGTATTATTCCCGTAGCTTTAACTTTGGATATAAAGAAGCTCTGTAATCAGCAACAGGTTAAGCGCCGCGTATAGAAACTCCGCCTCCAGTACACGGTCGAATCCTTCCGCCGGGGTTCGGTTGCGCGTGCTTAAGCGTGCTATCAAGGTCAAAAAAGCTCGCGCTGGTGGAAGAGCATCTCCGCGGTTTTTAACCTTTCACCGACTATAGGTTCGTGTAATAGAATAATAATAATAGTAATAATCTTTGTTTGGACTCCTTGAGTCTCAAGTGGAGGGGCAAAAGGTAAACAGATTTATCTGACGAGGCCCCACCACCCTACGCTTTGCTCAACAGAGAGTCAAAACAGACTAGAAATGAACTCAAGTAAAAGCGACTATAAATCTTATCAAACATTGTGTCGCCGTGCGAAGTAGGCACGAAACAATTCTTCTACAGAATAGTGAATTATTAAACCACGCCAGGAGCAAAGTACAACTTGGCAGGAGCTAGAAGCTTTCAAGCGACTTAACACAAATGACGCTGGTCAGAGCTGATTATACGCTATACGAACCAATGCATAACCAAAACGCTATTGCCTATTGTAAAATATGACGTTTCGTGTAACGTTTGAGTAGCATTCCTCAATAATTCAAAAACACTTGGATGATCGTTCAGAAGCTGTGGTATTTTATATGCTAGAGCTTGGGAGCCATAATTTGTTCGTATTTTGAGCTTTGTTAATAATTAATTTCTTACATTATATTTTGTTGTTTTAGGGTGGTAGATCTCACAAAATTTATTTGGATCACTGCTGTACTCGCGGTATATTATCATCGCTAGTTTTAAAATAAAGAGCTGATGGATATTTGAAATTCAATATTTTACGAAAATGGAGCTGAATGATCGGTGTAGTGAAGGTTTTCGATGCAACGAACAGCTTTTTTTTTTTTTTTTGTAGGCCCAACAGTTTGTTTAGATTTGTTTTCGTTGTGGTTTCTCAAACTAGTAAGAAATAATGTAAAGGAGATTGTACAAGACTGTAGTAGAGCTGGCACTTCAACCAACAGGAAAGGAGATGTTTAAGTTTATACAAGATTCGAATAGATCTGGATATGCTTGATGATTGATCTGATCTGTCCAGCTTAAGGTTTCTTCAAACCAGACACCTAAACATTTTAGGGAGGACACTCTTTCTAATTACGAGTTTCTAAATTGTACCGAGAAGTTACTACAGAGTTGCTTATGCACAGGCTTGAAAAAAAAAAAGATTGTTTTGTTAATATTCAGTTTTATTTGACTAGACCCTAGCCACAGCGCAAGTTCGCATAACCAAATGGTTGATAAACCTTCTATTGCACTGATATCCTTTTCAGTAAATAACACCGTAGTGTCGTCCGTATAAAGTATAATATCTGGATTTCGCGGAATATTTACTATGACATTTATGTACAACAGACAAAATAATGGTTCCAGAATCGACCCCCGAGGCACACCATAATTTATTTGCATTAGTTGCGACTCATACTCATTGATTTTTACATATTGTGATCGTCCAGATAAAAAGCTATGAATTGGATGCCAAGTTGTGCCCCTTATGCCATAATGCGTCAGCTTTTTTAGAAGGGTGTGCTCTTGAAGTATGAATTTCGCGGATTATCGTTTTTTGGGGGCTGAATGCAAGGCAAGAAACAGACGAAGAAATACGGGTGCGGTTGGTGGTAACTCCACTATTATTATTCAATTTGTGACGCGTTTCTTCTCGCACGACACGCTTGAAACGATGCTGATCTTTCTTTTCCTACGCCCAATTTACTCGGGATAATTCATACCAAACACGAACGCTGTGGGACGTTCCTCTACACTTGAATCTTGATGAGCGAGAACGGCTCCGATTCCACATGGATATGCATCGCAGCTAAGGGTGATCTCTTTGCTAGGATCAAAAAGCTGAAGCACACAAGCAGAAGTCAACACCTCGTTGCTCTTCTGAAAAGCATTCTGATCTTCTAGCTGCCATCGTCACTGTGATGTCCAGCGCGGCGCCACTCGCGCATAAAGGACGAAGATCGGCATTGCCCTGTGCGCGCGATCCCTGAGCGCGCACTCTGGAACTGCGAGCTACCGATGGCGTAAGCTAGGCACTGAGGCTCTTCTGGGTCATATTAAACTCATAAGTATTCGGGCTGTAGTTGTCATCACCACACGGACACGACACTGGCGACGAGTAATCAAGGACCTACGACGCCTGGAACCTCAGACCTCGAGCCATGTCTAAGTCAGGCAAAATGGAAGCCTTCTCAGGCAAGTCATGGGCATCCTGGATTGAGCGCCTCGGATTCTACTTCGTGGCGAATAACATCAGCGCCGTGGACAGGAAGCGAGCTGTCCTACTTACGCTGTGCGGTCCAGAAACATATGACATCGTACGAGCGTTGGTAGCACCCAGAGGACCCGGGGATGTCGAGTTCGAAGAACTCGTGACGATCCTCGGCGCGCACTTCGATCCAAAACCTTCGGAGCTCTATAGCCGGTACAACTTCCAGAGGCGAGACCAACTACCGGACGAGTCCATAAACAGCTACGTTGCGGCACTCAAAATGCTGGCTGGAGACTGCAATTTCGGCATCTTAGCTTCCGCAACTACGCTTGTGGCATCGACAACGGCACGGCAACCGGCGTCGCAGCAACCGGCGTCACAAGCAGCACCCGATGCAGTGGCTACGGCTGCACAACCGGCAACTCCATAATGGGACACTAAACTGCCACTGGACGTGATGCTGCGCGACAGGTTTGTCTGCGGCATCCGTGACGAACTTCTGCAACAACGTCTGTTCGCAGAAAAGAACTTAACGTTCGCAAGCGCCTTAGACATCGCCGTCCGTGCTGAGAGTGCCTCGAAACAAAAACAGAGTATAAAAAACAAGGAGGATCTCCAGGTCAACAAGACAACGGATGCATGCAACAAGTCCGCTTCATACAAAGGACGTCCGTGTTATCGTTGCACAGGTCAGCACGACCCACAGGCCTGCCGATTCAAGACTACCGAGTGTCACTACTGCAAAAAGGAAGGACACATTGAAAAGGCATGCATTGCAAAGAAAAAACAACAAGGTAAAACAGGCTACAAGAAAGCTAACTACAACGTTGAAGCAGCGACTGAAGTGGTGAGCCAGCCAGCGTGTTCTTCTAGATGTACATGTCATGAGCTGAACCAGCTGACCACGCGAAGGTGCTTCCCGAAATTTTATGTTTCCCTTCGGATTGAAGGTAAACCACTTCAGTTCGAGGTCGATTCTGGAGCCGCTTGTTCGTTGATAAGCGAAGACACATTTCGCTCAACCTGGCCCAAGAACCCACCAAAGCTCACGAAGAACGACTTGGAGCTCTACACTTGGAGTGGCGAAGGCCTGAAACTTCTGGGATCGCTTCAAGTTCGAGTACGCTTCAAGTCCAAGGATTACCTACTGCCGCTTCTGGTAATGAAAGGGGCCGGCTGCAGCCTTTTGGGTAGAGATTGGTTCGACGCGCTAAACATCCGAGTTCAAGGAATCAATCAGATGCAGCAGCAGACCACGCCACCGGAGGTGGAGGCAGTGCTACAACGACATTCCAAGGTATTCCAAGACGACATCGCTGGATACACGGGACCTCCAGTGCACTTGGAGCTGGAGGAAGGAGCCCCGCCAAAGTTTTGCAAGGCTTGCCCTGTTCCTCTCGCGCTACGATCAGCGGTGACAGACGAGCTTCAACAGCTGCAGAACTAAGGGATAATTGAGCCAGTTCAACACTCTGAGTGGGCTACGCCGCTTGTACTCGTTCGCAAGAAGAGCGGAGCTATCCGACTCTGTGGCGACTACAGGAGTGCGGTAAACGCCGCATCGAAAAAGGTCAGTTATCCGCTACCAACAACAGGAGAAGTGCTCTCGAACCTCTGAGGCGGAACTACTTTCTCCACGCTAGACTTGTGCCAAGCATACCAGCAACTAAAGGTAACTGAAGAGACGGCAGCTGTACTTCAAATCAATACGATGAAAGGATTGTACCGAGTGACACGACTTCCGTTCGGAATTTCAGCAGCACCAGCGATCTTAAAGCGAATGATGGAAACAACACTCGCCGGCATAGACGGAATAAGTGTCTATTTAGATGACATCATCATCAGTGGAGCGAGCAAGAAAGAACATGCTGAGCGTTTGGAACAAGTACTGTCCAGATTAGACAGCACCGGTCTGAGACTAAAAAAAGAAAAATGCAAGTTTGCAGTCAGCGAAGCTACCTTCCTGGGACACAAAATTGATGCTTCAGGGGTTCACACAACCGCTGACAAAGTGCAAGCGATTCTAGACGCTCCAGAGCCAACCGGGAAACCTGAGCTGCAAGCCTTTCTGGGGTTGTTGGCATTTTATGACCGCTTCCTCAAGAACAGAGCTACAGTCGCAACAGACCTGTACAAGCTTCTCCAGAAAAATGTTCCTTGGCTCTGGAAGGACAGTCACAAGGAAGCGTTCCGAAAGCTCAAGCAACTAGTCAAGGAATCCACGGTCCTTGCCCACTATGACGAAAACAAGCCCCTGCTTCTTTCCTGCGACGCGTCCCCTTACGGCGTAGGAGCAGTGCTTGCTCAGAGAGACGCCTTGGGACGTGAGGCTCCGATTGCTTTTGCGTCGAGGACGCTAGGAGCAGCAGAGAAAAACTATTCCCAGCTGGATAAAGAAGGGTTGGCCATTGTCTATGCAGTATGTCACTTCCATGAATACATCGCTGGACGACAGGTAACCATCTACACGGACCACCAACCACTTCTGGGAATACTTGGAGGCTCGAAAACAATACCTCAAGTGCTATCCCCGCGTATGACACGA